AATTGGCAGTAGGCGGTCTCTCAAGTATCCAGATCCAATACCATGAAGGGCTTTGTAGGTGACAACTAGCACCTTGAAGCGCACCTGGAGATCAACAGGCAGCCAGTGCAGCTCGCGGAGGATAGGTGTTACGTGGGTGAAACGAGGTGCACCCACGATCACTTGCGTGGCTGCATTCTGGACCAGCTGAAGTCGCCGAATACTCTTCAAGGGCAGCCCCATGTAGAGCACAGGTTCTGGCCCACATATACTCTGAAAGCAGCTGTATCATTCTACTGTCACTTCATATTCAGTGTATAAAAGGGATTACCTCAGCCCCTTTTTTAGTTTGAGCCTTGGAAAAAGTAGAAGGCCATTTATAACAACTAAACTTTTAAAATGTTAGTATAGTAATAATCGAGGGACACGGTGGCTCAGTGGCTAAGATGCTGAGCTTGTCGAACAGAAAGATTGGCAGTTCGGCAGCTGGAATCTCTAGTGCCGCGTAAGGGAGTGTGCTCCCATTACTTGTCCCAGCTTCTGCCAACCAAGCAGTTCAAAAGCATGTAAAAATGCAAGAAGAAAAATAGGAACCATGTTTTGTAGGAAGGTAACAGCATTTTGTGCGCCTTTGGCATTTAGTCACGCCAGCCACATGACCACAGAGTCATCTTCAGACAGACCTGGCTCTTCGGCTTTGAAATGGAGATGAGCACCCCCCCTTCCTAGAGTCAGGAACGACTAGTACATATGTGCGAGGGGAATCTTTACCTTATAGTAATAATCATAGCTCTTAAACTGCAAGTGGAACTAAAAGAAACAGCAATCTGCTTGAGATTGTTCAATGAGTTCAGGGATGAATTCATTCTTCTCAAATGTTAAGTTGCATTTGTTAAGCACAGTAACTGTTCTGTCCGCAGACCTATTTCACATGTTCTAGTAAGCGGTGCATGCCACAGTCCCCACAACTATTTCCTATAAGAGTGCACCCATTTTTCATTTTTCATGTCTCTGGTAATGTCTTAATCTATTCCTGGCCATATATGTGCAGAAATAAGAGGATTCCATACGTCATTTTTTTGTGATAATAAAAGAATGCTTTGAATCCATGCTATATTCCTGGAAACACAACCTTAAGTTATCCATACTGACACTGATAATAAGAGCTGTGACCCAGGAAACCAACCCAAATGTTGTTTTAACAAAGTTTACAGAATCCCTGGGTTGCAATCCTAATCTGGTTTGCAAATTTCTTCCAGTCCTATCCTAAGTATTGCTGTGCTTTACCTGCTTATTTTTCCCTGTAAGAATGTACGTATCAGATAAAAAGCATCAAGAACTACTCCTGCACATAAACTCACAAGTAGAATCCATTTCACTTGCACCTTATTTTTTGCACCTAAAGGGAAGGACAGGATACAGTAGAATTGACCCTTTCAATACTCCTTTCATTTTAACAGCTTTAAGAATTATCATTTTTCAAGGATTCTTACTCTCCAAGTGCTATGGTGATTTTTTTTTACAATGAAATCTTTGCTGTCTATTCTGATAGAATTCCACATCATTTACAATCTGAAATGGCAAGATTTCTTAGAAAATGTAGCATTGGCATGTTCTAGCTTCACCAGTGCTTCCAAAAAATTCAATGGATGTTGGATCCCATTTCTGAAGATAAGTCAGCAAATATTAAAGTTATTTCTCATTTTACACAACTTTTTTTGCACAATATACAAGACAGCTTCTTCCATTAAACAGAAAACTAAACATGAAATAGTATTTAAAAGGTAAGAAGCCGAAAAAAATGAGATATATTGCACTATCAACTTCTGAAATGAACGAAGCAACCAAGTTGTGGCTGGAATTTTAAAAGACAGACTGACTTCAAGAAGCAGCAGGGATGAATATTCATAAAAGATTACTAAATGGAATTTGAAAGTGATTTTTGTTATCAAAGGGAAAAGAACATGAGAAACATCCAGCTGTCTGGCCAATTATTTTAACCACGGAATAGATATAAGGTTTGTTTACAACACAAGAACATTACAAAAATGTAGTCTAGACAAATCAACAGGTGGTGATTCTCCAAAACTTGCACTACCCAGGTAGTTTATTCAAACCACATTTTAAAAGAATCCCCCCCCCCTTAAAAGCTGCAAGTTTTTCTTGAAACAAGTTCAAGGGAAGCACACAAATCAAAGAAGCTGCTTAAACACAACCTGGAAGAATAGTTACTTTTTAAAAAACAGCTGGTAGTATTTAAACAGTGCCTGTTTCCTTCCCCAGAATTCAGCAGTCTTACAGTCTAGTATAGGCAACAATTTTCCCTATATCTTTCATGTACAAAAAGAAAATCAAAGGAACACAGATGCTTATTCCAAGAACAAACATACCAGATTTTCAAGAGGGCTGTATAAAACTTTGGGGCACTCCTGTTCTTGGAACTACTGCACTTCACACGCACATCCACACTAGCATAGGAATAAGATATGCATACTCTACCAGCGGCCACATATTGCCAATACACACCTGTCACACGGGGCAACTCAAGCCACCTGCTGGCAAACCCTGGCTTCTCCCAGGGTAATCCTGGGAAGCGGAGCCAGCAAAATCTTTTACACAGGGGTGTGCGTGTGTGCACAAGCCAACTGAAAGGCCGGGGAGGTGGAGAGAAAGACAAGTGTAAACAAAATCTATTTCATCCTTATTTCCAGGATAGAACGGCACAAAATCCCACGGTGAGAGCCAGCTGCTTTCTTCGCCTTTTAAACACCGCCCAGCTTTAAAAGGGCCTTGAAAACGCGGCACGAAGCCGGTTGCCCAAGCCGCTCCAGGTAACAAAAGACGCGAGGCGAAGTCCGGGCGTGCACTTTCCTGAACTCGAGCGAGCTTTTGACCTGGATGTGTATGCAATTACAGCCCTTACCGTTTCAGCCCTTCGTGTGAACGAGAAGCGGCTTAAGGGGAATCCGCGATGCTATAGAAAAGAACAATAAACTGAGAAGGGTCGGGGAGCTGGGAAAGACTCCCCGGAGAACTTGGAAACACGCAGGTGTCGTCACCGCCGACTCTCCCCAAGCCGGTCCCTTCTGGCTTTGTCTCTCTCCCCGCTTCCAGCTAGTTCAAAACTCTTCGTAATCGAACAACGCTCCGCCCGCTAGCTCGGAAGCGCTTTTCCGCGGGCAAAGCAGCTGCAGGAACAATGCCGACCCCCCCCCCACCACCACCACATTCCACACATGCGCCCCCCCTCAAGAAACAATGGGGTGATTGCCGCCGCTGCTCAGGAAGCGCCAACTCTCGAGTAGCGCATCTCAAGAAGGGTCAGGTGGAGCCGGATCAGCACCCTCCTCCGAGTCCCAGGGAAGAGGAGGAGGAGGTGGTGGTGGTGGTGGTGAAAGAGGAAGGGGGACCCACAAAGAAAAGAAACAAAAGCAGCTTCGCCCCATTCTCGACTACCCCAACCACCAGGCAAGGCGGTTACTTACGCGGCAGGGCAGGCGGACGGCTGCAGACGGCCCCGAGCTGAGCTGTTTTCGCGAGGGATCCCAAGTGTACCCAAAGGGTCCCGCGCCTTCATTCATTGAGAAGAGCTGAGCGGTGTCGAGAGCGCAGAGCGGCCACCCCGCAGCCAGACACCCCACAAGCGGCGGTTGCGCCCGAGCGTTTTTGCGGGCGCCCCCTCTCCTCCTCCCAGCGCCGTCCTCCTCCCCCCTCTCCCTCCCTCCCTGATGCTAGTGCGGCCGATTGGAAGACTCCCCTTCCCCGACTCTGGCGGCGGCTCTCCTGCCTTTGCCGGGTTGGCCCCTCCTCGGGGAGGGCCCGCTTCGCCTCCGGCTGCAGCTGGGAACCTCGCGCCCGGCGGGGGGAGAGGCCGATGAGCCCCGTTCGGACTCGCCGGGGGAGCGTAGCCAAAGGAGGGGAGGCGGAGGTGCTGGTCGCCGCCTCGAGGGAAACGATTTGAGGCACGCGCAGCAACAACCCGGCTACCGCTCGCCCGCGCTTAGTTCAGGTTTGCCTTCGTCGGGTTGGCCGAACTCCCCCTCCCTCCTCTTCTGGGAAACTCCTCCCAGGCTAATTTGCGGCGGATCCGAGGTTTCCGTGAAAACGCGCCCTCTGCATTAACCCCGCGCGCCGGGCTCTCGTGCTGGACGGCTTTTGGTTGGTGTTTTTTAAAAAAAATCTTCCTCCTCTCTTTCAGATTCTCTGAGGTAGAAATTATTCAACAGGTTTAGCCGGGAACTTTCTGCCGCATGAGCAGCTGGAGGCACGATTTATTTAGGCATCCTATCGATGCCGGCGTTCCTCTGTCGATTGCGGGCTGGCCTTTGAGCAGCCTGGGCGAAGAAGAGAGGAGATGAAAATGAGGTTTGGTGTGAAGGGAATAGGTACGTTGATGAATGCAGAAAATATGGCAGTCCCTTCATACATTTATTTTCGGCTTTCTGTTGCTTAAGCGTTAGTTCAAGAGTAGTTTTTCTGGAGCCGCAGTTTTGCACACCTGTTTTACCAAAAAGCCCACCTACCTCATGCAGGTAGGAAGGTGGGGGGGGGGGAGAAAGACATCTTGCACTTTGTTACTATATGAATACAGCTGAAGCTTTGCACAATTCTCCCCATTGCCTGTGGCCCTTTGCAGGATTTTATGAAGCTCTGCAGGAGTACAAACTCAAGAGTATTCACTGTCCTGGTTTACTTTTAGTTTGCAAGGGCTTTGTTTGTGCAAATAAAAGTGGCAGCAAGTCCAGAATACAGTAATATCCACTTATATCCTCAGGTGACATACATATGTGGTTAAAGGGTAATGTCCAGGGAGAGAAGGAAGTGATATGCATGATTTATAAGTGTGCTGACATTCTCCTGTTGTACCAGGTTCCCCCTTGGGAAGAAATAGGTAAAGGTAAAGGTTCCCCTCATATGTGCTAATCGTTCCCAACTTTGGGGGCCAGTGCTAATCTCTGTTTCAAAGCCGAAGAGCCAGCACTGTCTGAAGATATCTCCATGGTCATGTGGCCAGTATGACTAAATGCCAAAGGCGCATGGAACACTGTTACCTTCCCACCATAGGTGGTTCCTATTTTTCTACTTGCATGTTTACATGCTTTCAAACTGCTAGGTTGGCAGAAGCTGGGACAAGTGACAGGAGCTCATTCTGTTATGCGGTGCTAGGGATTCGAACTGCTGACCTTTCTGATCAATAAGCTCAGCATCTTTGCCGCTGAGCCACCACATCCGTTCTGGAAAGAAATAAATAGTAGCAATTTTAATAGAAATTAAATTCAAACATCTTTCTTCTTAACACTGTAGTAAAAATGAATGTAAAATTGAGTCCAGTCTCTTGATGACACAGCTTAAAACCACAACTACCAAGATTGATTGCCAGATTGTATGGGTCTAGATATGTTACATTGTTCTTACTCATCAGTTCTTGAATTTATCCAGAAATATAAAAAGTGCTACTGTGATCACATGAACACTATCCAGGAATATAAAAGAATCTAGGAATCCTAAGACAAGTCCATGCTTACTAATCAGATTTTTCTTGTACTTATTAATCATTCCAGTTCCAAGAAATCATCTTGTACTCTTATGCAGCTATCAACCAAATTCCCATATATATATATCTTCAAACATTGACTCTTTACTCATCATGACAGCTGATTGTCAGATTTAGCATGTCCCAAAGAGGTTAAGGGTCAGTATCTGAATTACAATTTATAACAGAGTTTCTCTAATTTACTCCTTAAGCTTGGTTCTTAATGTTATCCACAACCACATATGTTAATCTAATATTTGCCTGTAGACACAAGGTTAAGAGAATAGAATGGTTCCAATGTTATTCTTTTTCTCTTTTCCCCCATTTCATTACTGCAAGGAAGTGAAGACAGAAATAGGGCAGGAGGGATTAACAATGACTCATAAAACTAGCATCAGTCCACCAATGAAGAATTAAAAATCTGTGAGCTACTTGCCAATCTATACAAACCTAACATGGTAATAGTAGTAAGATAGTCACGTATAAAAACAAACACAGTTTTCCTTGGTCTGCAATCATAGCTGTCATATCCTTGCCTCTCTCTTTATGCCTCAGTCAGTTTTTGAATCTGCCATAGCCTGGACTAGTCCCTGCAGTTTACTACATGAGTAATTAGAAAAAGAAGCATGCAAAAGTAGACTGGCACTTTGTAATTCCTCTCTGGACAAGGAGAGGACTTGAAATTGCTCACAAGTGCTCCAGAAAGTTGTTCCTTATAGGGAAAAAACAAGGCAACAGTTTCCAGCATGTTGAAAATGAGGGGAAGCACCCCCCCTCTCAAATCACACTCAGCATCTTTTTTAAAGGACACTCTTCATTCTGACTCTTCATTCAGCTGCCGTCATCAGCTCCACCTTTAATGGAGCAGTCTTCACCATTTTTCCCCCTCCCAAGTTGAATTATCTCTTTTATCAGGTGGATTAATTGGCATGTTTCAACTACTTATTTTCTCCATTAGATTGCTTGCTAAGAAATTTTAGAGCCACACCTCTGCTTCATCGTACTCTTATGAAATTTGATCTATTAACTGATAGAAACTACAGATTTGAGGGCAAACAGTTACACCAGTTTAACAATCTTGAAAGAGTAAAGTCCAGCACAACTAGAATTAAGTTAGAGAGTTATGAGACACTGATGTAAGATAAGTAGTTTGATCAGCAGCACCTCTTTGTAGTGCTGAGGATTCATTCATTCTCATTTAAACCATGTGGCTTACTATACTGATCAGGAATGGTGTAAAATAGCAGAGTGCAAATAAGCTTGTTGACAATTTCAGAAGGGGAAACTGCTGCTGCTGAAGAACTGCTGCCCAGCCACATTTGCCATTGGCCATGCTGGCTGGTCCAAGTCAGAATTGGAGCTGTAGTAAATTCTTCCAACATTTACTATAGTATATATTAAATGAGAGCCTGTTGGTTTCTACCACATCAGGCTAAAAACCCAGAAGCTGTAAGTTCTAGTCCCACTTTAGGCACAAAACCAGCTGGTGACTTTGGCCAGTCACTCTCCCTCCACCCTAGAAAGGAAGAAATGTCAAAGCTCTTCGGAAAAAAACTTTGCCTAGAAAATTTCAGAGATTTGTCCAGGCAGTCTCTGAGAATCAAACATAGTTGAACTGAAGAGGAGGAGGATATTAAATACCATTTAATGCAGCCCTGTGACACAAGTTCCATGGTGAAATATAGGAACTGTCTTGCTCTACAGTAGTGACTATGCTGGCTGAAGACAATGGGAATTGTAGTCCAGATTTTTAGGGATCCTAAGCTAGGGAAGGCTTAGTATCCCCAAGATACTTAGGATCTAGAAATGGTAGCCAAGTAGACAATACTGCATTAGTACAACACTCTGAATAGTACTCTGAGCCTGTCTCTTCTATAAATACTACACTTCTTAAACTGCTCTAGCACATTAACCTGAAGCCAGTTTAAGAAAAATCTCCCTCTGGCAGTGGCTTACAAAGCATTCAGTCCAGATTTCAGGCTATCACAGACCTCCAGCCCACAATTCCCCTGCTGCTGTACTATGCCAACTTTCTATTGAAATTGGCAATTGCTTTCCTTTTTAGGGGCGATTCTTATACATGGGCACAACAGAGGTGGTATTCAGCAGATTCTGACCAGTTCTGGAGAACTGGTAGCAGAAATTTTGAGTAGTTCAGAGAAATGGTAAATACCACCTCTGACTGGCCCTGCTCCCCATCTATTCTCTGCCTCCTGAGTCCCAGCTGATCGGGAGGGAATGGGGATTTTGCAGTAACCTTCCCCTGGAGTGGGGAAGGAATGGAGATTTTACAGTATTCTTCCCCTGCCATGCCCACTGTTAGATATCAGAAACAATGATAATGGTTTACACCAAGGTCCTCTGTTCCGGCGGGAACAGAGATTCAATCTAATTGGTCGAAGGGTCTGACAGCTCCCTATAAACGGGCTGTTGTCAGACTGAACCTTCGCTGGATTGTACATAGTTGACTTGTGCTAATAAAGAGCTGTTTGTTACTCTGAAGCTTGAGTGTGCCTTCATTCACCCAACCTAACACCCACCAAACCGTGCTCACCAAGCCACACCACACCCACCAAGCCATGCCCACAGAACCGGTAGTAAAATTTTTGAATCCCACCACTGGCACACAACTTATGACATTAAATAAAATTAAAACATCCAAATGCACACATACGCAGGTACAAAAACCAAACTTTAAAACATAAAATATTTTCTTGCATTTTTCCTGATTTGGTTCTTTAAGGCCTTCTGCAATTCTTATTGGGAACAGTATAGTAGTTATAACATTTGCCAAACATATAAACTGCAAGAAAAGCCTATTTACTCTTCCAATAGGCTTTTCTAAAAAAGAAAACCAATCACTTCAGGTAAAGGTCTTCACCCCTTTTGCCAAATAGCCAACTGCACAAAGATGAAATGAGGCATTGGTGAACATTTTTTTTAGAGCAAAGCAGAAAGTTATAGAGCTCAAGTAAAGAAAAATAACAAAAGAAAATTCTGCCAGCTTTCAAAGGAGTATAGCATTTTACATAGTTTTTAGGACTACTATGTTGTTACGACTCATTCTTAGCAATTGCTGTAGCAGAGATTAG